AGATGAACATGAAAAGATCTTCATGATTTCCTGCAGTGCTGTTTTTAGTATCTATTAAATGTGTTGCAGCTTTTTTCCTGATTGAAGTTTCTTTGTTGGATGTGTGGGATTCCTCATGTGCTTGTCAGCCTGGTGTTAGGTATTCCTTATGTCCACTGACACTTTAATAATAATAATAATGATAATGACAATAATAATGATAATGATGATAATACTGATAATAATAATGACAATAATGATAGTAGTAGTAGTAGTAATAAAAATGCTAATGATGATGATGATGATGATGATGATGATGATGATGATGATGATGATAATAATAACAAAAAATTTATTTTATAGCACTTTTAAAAACAAAAGTTTACAAAGTGCTTTGACAAATATACAGCACAGAACAACAGCTCATGGAAATAAAAACAAATGAAAAACAAAAGTTCAGTTAAAACAAGGCTTCGAATTGAAGACCAATTTCATTCATCATAAGGAACCTAGACACCGCAAGAGCCCTTCATCATAAAATAAGACCATGAGGACCAAAATAAAAAACAATGATAATAAATTGATGATAATAAAATCATAACAAAATTATAATTATGGTAATAGTTATGATAAAATGGAATAACATAAATGAGCAAGAAAAAACTGTAAAATCAATAAAAGGCCTAATAGGTTCAATTGGACTTTAGCAGAGACTTTAACACAAAACTAGCAAATTCAAACATGCTGCTAATGCCATTGTTGGCATATACTGTTTACATTTTCTTTGGACAATTTCTTTGCACAGAAGCAGATTTTTAGAGAACATTCTCAAACAAACTTTGTAGTCAGGGGAAAAACTTTCGTAAAAATGCAGTGAGAAGTGCTCTAGCAGTACAGTTGCCAGTGGACACAGGCCCTTATATTTAAGTTACAGGAGTTGGTTCATTTCTCCAGTTGGTTCATGTTGCAAAATCGTTTTTCCTGTTGATTGCATCTGCAGACACCTACAACAAAGACAAGGACAAAATATTAAACAGTCAGGTCTTGTGCAGAGGTTGTGGATTTTTACAGCTTAACCTACTAAACCTCACATTGACTTTAAACCGACTTTATTATATGATTCATAATGTCATCTTCATAGTAGCATTTTCAATTTCTCTCTCGTTTATCCAACAAAAACAGTGAAATAAAGGAGTTTCTTTCCTCATTTGAATTTAATTATCTTCTTATTACAAATAATTAGTGTCTGAAAATGTCAGAACTGTTTGAGCAGAGAATGAAGATGACTTTTTTTTATCGGAGAAGATTGTATGAAAGACTTGTTTTACCATTTTGACTTCGACACCAGCAGAACTTCACCTTCAAAATTGATCGTGACACATCTGTTGACTCACTTTCACCTGCAGCAGGCTACTGTTTACTCTAACAAGGATGTTTTTCTGACTTCACACGTCAGCCATTGACCAGCGCACTCACCTTGCAGGATGATATTGGTGTTACTATGTTGTCACACCTCAGACACATCAGTGATAAATCAGGGCTGATCCTCTGCCAGTGACCTGGAGTGATTACTCTTTGCAGAGCTGCAGCCTGGGTTCAGTCTGTCGAGTGTCGTGCTGGTCGGGTTCCAGCGGCACGTCTTGAGTTGCCATGGCTTTATGCAATTAGCTTGGAGGACTTCAAATGCACACTTCAAATTAAAGCAGAGCCTGATTCACTTGTCACAAAATCAATGCAGATCCGTCGTCCCGTGTTAGAGGCTCCGGTGCCGGAGAAAGTGTGAACTGTGGTGTTTTTTTTCCCCTGCCTTTTCCCATCACTCTTCTTCGCTCTGCCTCCTGAGTGTGATACAAAAGCCTCACAGAATTTAAACAGTGAAGAAGAGCAGCAGTGGATTACAGACAAGTATTTTTTTATTCCTTGTTTTTGTGAAGATATTTGCTAAACAAATAAAAAATCCTTTTGGATATTTGGCAACACCCCTCCTGCACCAGTCTGGCACATTTCAAGGCTAATGAAAAGAAACTGACAAACATCTCAAAGGAATATTTCACTTTGATACAACATTTTGTTCTCTTGTTTTGTTCATGCTTGCTCAACTTGTGGCACTTAGTCGCCCTGTAAACTAATTCAGCTTATGTTGTTTTCTAAGCAAATCTCTTTTACTGAGAATGAAGTAAACACATCTTCTGCCCTTGAGCAAATTAAGTTGTTTAATAGCAGAAACAAGGACACAAAAAGTGACATGCAGACTCTCTAATGATCAACACGTGTTAGATTTTACCATGACTACTCTCCTGTTCTTAAGTTATGTCGTTTTCTTTCGCTTTGTCCTGCTGATTTAGGCAACATACTGATGTTAAACAAAGCATACAGTTTTGAGGACTTGCTGGAATAGTCATAGATATCTTAGAATAATAAAAATGTATTTTGCGAACATCTTAGTGTGTTTCAAAGGAAGCGAACCATGCTGGGTGCTGGTTTCTGAGAAAAGTCTCCTCAATTGACAACAAAAAGCGACCACTGGAGATCAGTCGCAGAAATTTCCTGGCAATTTTCAGGCGCTCTGCCCCCCAAATTTTCCACCTTTGTGACTCTCTTAGTGTGCAGCCTTCTCTGTTGGGTAAGGGAAATGGTGGAGGACAGGAGGGGGCTTGGGAATAGTCCAAAGTGGCAGAACATGATATGAAAGCAGGATGTTAAGCTTTTTACAACATAAAAAGCAATAGAGATGAAAATATCAGGACAGTTTTTTGTATTTAAACCGGTGCTACTTACAAATGTTGGATGTTAACAAAGCTTGTATCCATCATGGACAATCCCTCTCACCCACTGCACCAGACTGTGGGGGCTTTAGGCAGCTCCTTCAGCAGCAGACTGAGACTCCCACCCTGCAGGACGGAGCGCTACCGCAGATCATTTCTCCCCTCTGCAATAAGACTTTACAATGAACAGTAACAAAACTGATTTTACACCACCACTTTTTTTATGGCATTTAAATTGTGTATATTGTAGAAAGCTTTATTTTTTCTTCTCCCTTTTCTAATTTTTTTCTTAATTATTACATTTATTTAAGTTCTTAATATTAGGACCCTTATTGTTATAACTGCATTTTTGCACTTTTTGGCTTGTCTGTGATGCTGCTGTGACAAAAAAATTTCCCCCATGGGGGATCAATAAAGGAATATTCTATTCTATTCTATTCTAAAGATTTTGTCAGGTTGAATAATTAACCTCCTGCAATGACTCCACCCAATTTTATTCTCCTGGATTGATTGATACATTTTTCATAAGGATTCGGCAGGTAAACGTCTGGGATTTGTCAGGATGAGAATTCAACTGCTTGTGTTCAGTGCCCACTCTAATAATAATAATAGAATATTGATCAAGTTTTTTTTTTGTCTGTTTTTCTTTGTGTTCAACTTTTCTTTGAATGTTTTGTATGAAGCACCTTGAATCGTTTGCGGCTGAAATGTGCTTCATCAATAAAGTTACCTTGCTGAAGCTGAGCGCAGCTCAGGTATTGGTCACTGGAAATGTTGTAAGCACCACATGGTGAAAACAGATGGCATCAAGGCTACACAGCTGCAAAGAAAATGCACATTGTGCACTTTGCTGAAAGCAACAGTAACCTTCAGACTTGAGAAAAGCTGAATCTTTTGAGAAACCCCCTTGAACGGGTCTCACATAACAGTCCCAATTACAGTAATGTTTGCTGGTTCTTTCCTGATTACTGCAACAAGTTGATGACAAACTTTTACAACAAAATTGAGTGACAGATGTTACAAAGAAAGATTATAATTATTATTTTCTGCATTTATTATTGACGATGCACTGACCTGCTCAAACACTTTATTCAGCTTGTAATGTGCTTTGTCATGTGTTGTAACTTAAGATGTGAAAACGTCATAATTTGTTTATCTGAATCTTCTAGGGGAAAAAAAAGTAGAAAAGGTCCTTTAAACCAAAAATATATTAATTTAAGATAATAACAACAACTTCATTTATATAGCACTTTTTTTTACAAAGTGCTTTAACATGCAGGAAAACAAAGAAAGATAAAAACAACAGAACTACAACAAGAGAACACTTAGGGGGAAAGAGACTAGAAAGGACTAAAACCCAGACTACATGTCCAAATGTGACATTGATGACAATGAAGAAATACCATTATAAAAAAACAAACAAAAAAAAAAAATGGTGGAAGATATAAAAGATTTGATGAGTGTCACATGAGCTGAGACGTCAGTAAAACAAAGACATTAAAACAAAGATATCATAAGAACCCATGATACCCGGCCAACACAGGAACCCAATCACAAAAACCTGAGACCAAGGGGACTATCAATAAAAAAGAAGAGAGAATTAAGATGTTCTAAAATGTGAATATGAAGAGTAAAACGTATTAAAGAAGACTAAATCACATAAAAGCAAGTCTATAAAATGAGTTTTAAGAAGTGATTTAAAAGCAGTGACTGACAACAACATGCCTTTAAAAAAAAGAACAAAGTTAACAACAATAATTGCTGCATAGCTAATGTTGGCAATAATATAATGATTTTTTTTACAGCATAATTAACACCTGATGAAGAAGCAGAAATATCTGTTGATTTCTCACCAGCCTTAAAGGTTGTGTGTTGATGTCTTGCACACATACATGTTATAAGACACTGTAGATCGTATGTATAATTTCAGATATTTAACATTGCTGCACACAGAAGTCTGGCATGTGTCCACAGTCTCTGAGTTCATCAGCAGCGTTTGTTTTGTGTAAACACAGCTGGGGTCTGGTGCTTGTGTGGGAGGTACCAGCCTACTTGGAAGCCACACAGGCGCTCTGATACACCCATGTACTCTTGAGTACATGTGTCTCACAAAGAGGGCGATAAGCATCACATGTAAAAAAAAAAAATATGGGCTTGTAAGTGTATGTTTGTGTATTATTGTAATGTTCCGTGTTACGTGTCAGCGTGGGTGTGTGTTTATCTGAGTGATGCCTGCGCCGCGGGGGTGAGAGCGAGGAGCGAGGGAGTGAGACGAGCTTGAACTCCACCTCAGACGCCCTGCAGCTTCACACTGAGTGGGAGCATGTGGATGTGAGGGGACACACTTGTGAGGGCTTCTTTTATTGGAGTGGAAAAAAAATATTCCAGTGACAGTGTAAACAGCTTCAAAAAGCCTTTTCAGACAGACAGGCACTTCCCCTCTTACACAGGACCGCATCCAGGCTCTTTTGATAAGGGTGGCCAGCCTGGGACGCCAGTATCAAAGGTGGGCAGGCTGTCCAGTATTTCCAGACCTAACATTAACGTTACACCAGCTGCATTTACACGGGCACAAATAATCAGAATAAAGGCCCGATTGGGATAAAAATGCGTCATAAATATATCGATCGGAAGATTCTGATCCAATTCGGCTCAGTTGAAAAGAATGCCGATCGTTATCCCGAAACGTGTCCATGTAAACACTTATTCTGATCGTGACTCTCTTACCTGACTCGATCTTCACTCTTTAGCCTTTGGTTTATTTATTGAGGTCAGTACAGGACGTTTCATTATAAACTCTGGCATAAAATACAACCGCAGGTCCCGTGTCTACAGCGTAATGATGTCGCATCTGCATGCATTGTGCAACCTTTGACAGAACAGTAAAATAAGTAGGCAAGAGCGCCATCTAGTGAGAACATTTAACAGGGGGAAACTCCTGAATTAGATGGAGTGAGCCACTACTGTGTTTGTTGGTTTGTTGACAGCACAGGCGTAAATACAACTCTTCTTCAACTCTGCGCATGTCCAAATGCTTCTAATCTGAATAAAGCTTGGTGCATGTACATGCACGTCATAATCGGATTATTTGATCCTGCACCCATAAAAACAGTGAATTCAGATTATCTGATCTCTCCGATTTTTAATCAGATCAAGAAACTTTGCATATGTAAACGTGGCTACTGTTAGGTATTCCTCTGAAACATTCAACTAAAAAAAAGATGTTTTAAAGGATCTTAAAAATGTTCAATTCAAGCCCAGTTCTCTGTCATTTAAACAGGATCTTATGAACTTTTATCGATCCAAATGTGGCAGTTTTGTGGAACAGTCGTGTGTCTCAGGGCTGATGTTGTCCACTTCATGGATTAATGGAATATTTTAGTGAATAATGTCCTTCAACTATTGAACATATCACCTGGTAATTCTCTGGAAAATATTAGAAACTTGAACTTTAAATAGCTGCGCTGACTCCAACCAAGTGGCAAAGATTTCAGGCATTAAGATGTAATTGATCGAAATTCTTGGTCTTTTTGCATCTGTAGGTCAAACTGAGGCCTCAGAGTTAAATGGTTCTCCAACAGTGGGTTTAAGTGTGCATGCTCACACATGTTGGAGTATCTTTTAATTCAACAGTCCAGTAATTTTTAACTCAAGTTGTCTTATCTTACACCAAAGGCAGCCCCCTTGAACATGCTCATCATGGATGCTCCGACCGTCCCTCAGATTTGAAAGTCGTGAGACAAACAGGAGCTGATCGGATTTGTTATCTTTTGTCTTTGTTTGCTGTTTTCTGCCGCCATTCTTGAAATAATTGCAATATTGTCTACGAAGACAACAAGATTATGAAACCGAGCCGATGATTCTTTGTTGCGTATTATCAATACACGGCTTCAAAGCTTGAGTGATGCCAGTGTTTTATTGAAATACACGCAGAATCTGACATGATAATTACACATCAGCTGCAACCGACACCCTTCATTGCATCCCGAACAGCACAGGCGGCGTGTTCTGACTGCCCTGGTAAGTCTACTCTATTTCTGAGTACTTAGAGAGGCAGAGAGGATTAAGGAGGTTTGGGAGGATCTGTCAGTGGCTAGCCTCAAGGTGAGTGACAAAATCACTACAACATCAGCATATTTCATTCTCTTTGTACCCAGCGGTAAGAGAGCCAGAGAGCCACTTTGTCAGGAGATCAGAACAGAGTTTTATTCAAATTAAAAACTGGGAGATATGCAGACACGGACTCCCAGATTGTGCTGTGAAGAAAAAAAAAAGCTCAGTCCTCAAGAGGGGGTAGCTGTACATTTTCTCCCAAAATAACTCTGGAGGTAATTACATGATCACGCATCGCCAAGAAAGTTGTTTTTTCCTGCAGAAACAATGAGGCGATGAAAAGACTTAAAATCAGCAGGATGTCAGGATTTCAATGTCAGGATTAAGTGGCATTGTGTAAACACATCTGCTTTACAATGAAAGACACATCCTTCAAAACCTGTGTCCTTTAAAAGACACAGGCCCTGAATCCAAGTCTAAGCACCTGCTCACTTGCGAGTCAGCACTTATTGGCCTATTAGCCTGTCAGCGAAGTCAAACGTATATTTTAAAGTCCCACTCTGATTGCTTTTTTTTTTACTTAAAGTGTTCTCAGTGGTCTTTAAATTGTGATTATTACGTTTTTAGCCAAAATTGCGTTACCTGTGTCATTTTCAAGGGTTTTCTTCTGCAGCACGCCAGTTACTCATTAGCGGGGGTGGCAGTACCTCGGGAGGTAGCACGGTCATTTAATAACCAGAAGGTTGGCAATTCGATTCTCTCCATCCCGAGTCTGGCCGTTGTGTCCTTGGGCAAGACACCTAAACCCACCTTGCTCCCAGTGTGTATGATTGTGAGGGTTGTGTGGTTGTGGTCGGAGAGGCCGTAGGCGCAAAATGGCAGCCACGTTTCCGTTAGTCTGCCCCTGGGCAGCTGTGACTACTGCGGTAGTTTACCACCACCAAAGTGTGACTGTGTGAGTGAATGAAAGATGTATCCAATGTGAAGCGCTTTGAGGGTCTCTGACAAAGCACTATATGAAATCTGATCCATTATTATTATTATTTTTATAGTAGCTCATTAGCAATTCGCCTCTGAATCGTGGGCAGAGACAGTGCTGCTCTGTACACTTCTCTTCACACTCCTCTTCACGTTTGCTTGCAGCCTAATATTGTCGGGGTAGTAGAAGTGTAACACAGGAGCTATTCAGCTTTTGGATACTATTGTCTTTAGGGACATGATGAAAGTTTTTTCCATAATTGTCCTCTCTTTCTCCGAGCCTGGCTGCATAGCGGGGCTCTGAGGGCGGAGCTTGGATTTGTGACATAAGAAATCTCACTATGTTTGAGCCTACAGTTTTGGTCTGCCAGAGATTCACAGCGGTTTGAATGCAGAAATACTCATAAAAGGAATTTCGCACTCATTTTTCTCATGATATGTCCTGTAGCATCAGAAAAATGCCATATGAACGTGTAAAAAACAAGAAAAACGCGTATGTCATTGGATTGGGTCTTTAAGGCACAAAAAGTCTGGGATAGAAATGTACTTTAGACTACTGTTTTATCTTTAGAGTTAAATTCCTCTTCTAGTGGGTTTCTTGGCTGTTTAACTTGCTCTGAACAAAGTGATAAATAATGGCCCTAACTGAAAATCAGATCCAGACTCAATGAAATCTAAATCCCCCTTGAAGACAGTAGTATTTCGTCTTTGTTTTTCACTTTCCTGGTGAAATGGGTCTGCTTTGGCTCTGATCAATGCCTACAATTAACACCCGAAATCAATTGAGAGGGCCTGAGGAACAGAGACGTTGTCCTTTTGTGTGAGTGCGAAGCAGATGTGGAGGCCCATCACTCCTGGAGGGGTCGACGCTCCAGTCAAGAGGCTAATGACACACAAAGTCCACCCCCTCAACCCCCCAACCCCAACTCTTCACCATTATCAGACAATTAATGGCTCCTCTGGTGAATCGGAGAGAAGGAGTTTGCTTTTGGCTGCAACGTTTTATTGGTTTCTCTGCATGTTCTTGATTGGATGTGCTCTTCTCTCACTGACTTTATCAAAATATTCAATCATGACTATACTATAAAAACGTCTGCCATAGAGACAAGCCACTAAGGAAAACTGGACTAACCACTGAACACTAAACCTGTCCCCCCAAAAAAATAAATGAGCCCAGATGTATTGTTATGGAGAAACATGCTGTGCTGACTTTCAGTAAATTTTTCTGCATATTTCGTCTGTCTTGAGGTCAAACATGAGAGGATTAGGGAGCCTTTAATCCATGCAGGTGGTGCTGTGGCCTTGGGCGGCCCGAGTCCTCTCAGTTTAGTATGCAGGCTGCTTGGTTTGAAGAACTGGAGCACACCAGCGCTCTGGGGGGATCTTAAGCTAAATAAATAGACAAAAGCTGGAATAAGAAAAAGGTTTTATGGAGAAAGAGGTGATATTAGCTTTGTGATTGAGTAGGGAGAGTGGGACCCGGAGAAGGAGAGGGAATAGGCGCTAGTGTTGTGGCATTCTGCGGTGTGTCTGCTGCTCTTAATTATCATGTCCCCGCGTGTGTCGTCTCCCTTCCCAGCTCACCCACTTTCTTCATCTCCTTTTCAATTTTCTAATTGCTTGGTTTTAATTAAAGCCACACAGAAGTGACAGCGAGTCAATTAAAAAGCCAAAGGAATAGGCTCAGATAGTCAAAGGCGACATGTTTTGGTAGAGGATTTCTGTCAAAGAGCAATGTTTCCTCCATATACTGTCACACCTTAGGATGAGTCAACGCGCTGCCCTTCTCATGCATGAATAAGAGATGTGAAATCTACATGCAGTTGCTATATTTGGAGGCTTGTGTTGTGGTGATGTGTGACACTGGCTTTCTGCGACTTCTGTATGTTATATCCGTTCAAAAGAGGGTGTGTGATGTGGCAAACACCTCTTTAAACATATTTGTTCACTCTTAGCAGGTTCGGTTTCCTTCCTTTTTCTTCACATACCTGTTTGCGTTTCCTTTGTGTGTCATTTCCTCCCTCGTGAATCCCACCCAGTGCCTCTCCCTCCTTCTGCTCAATTACTAATGTGCTGCAGCCTCCCGCTCCCCTTCCCTCCACTTTTCTCATTTTCTTAATGATACCACAGTCTATGTTTTAGGTCCTATTTCTGCTCATTCCATCTTTTAATTATACGTCGGTGTTTTTGTTTTTTTTGGCTCCGTCTCCTAATGTTTCAGCCTACCTGTTTTTACACAGAGGATCTTCCTTCAGCTGGAGCGGGTCCTGACTGTGTGCCGATTGCTCCTAGATTTCCTCTGCGATGAGACAATTACAACTGCGTCCCTTCCTTTGATGTGCCTCACAAATAACTAGGTCGAGTCAGATGAGAGAGACTATGAGTCAGAGCCTAATTTACCTCAAAGTTGAATAAAAATCAAACTATTCTGTGTAAAACTCTCCACTGACATGAAAACTCTGACTGGAAATTATCTCTGCATTAGTGCTCGGGTTTCAAGTGCGATTAATGTACATCATCTACATTTTCATCATCATTAGCCACATGCTTATCACTGATATCCTCATTAAAACAGACTTTTTAATGAATTGATATCATGATTTGTTCCAATTAATTTACATTGTGCATAGTTAACTAGTTTTTTCCCCAAGTATGAACATGCTTTCTTTATCAGTACATCTATAATTCTCTATATCTTATGGTAGAGCTGTGAAATTAATCAGATTTCAATTTCGATTACGTTTATAGCTCACCATAATCATAAAAATGTGATGACTGAAATCGAATGGTATCGAGTCGCTTCCCGTTACATCCCACAGCTTGAGTGAGTGACAAACAAGGTGTGAGAGTACGAGGAAGTTGAGGCTCCCGCTAAGATTAATGGTGAAACGCTGTGTTGTAAACACAGAGCAAGGAGGGGAGCATGAGGAGGCAGGTGTGTGGACCCGTGTGTCTGAAAAGCCAAGGGACAGAATGAGAGAGAGGCTGTAGCGATAATGAGCATGTTCAAACGCTAACCACTTAGTCTTTAAGTCATAAAGGTTAAATTAAAGCTCAAAAAAGACTGTTTGGTTGGTTAGGTCTGCATCATGTGAACTGAATTTAGTGAAGTGAAGAATTGATGCATGGTTCCTTTCAGTAATATGTACAACTTTTTACACTTTTTTTTTAGGTCTTTCAGGGGTTTTCATTTGTGCAGATTCATGTATTTAAAATCATGATACCAATATTATCAAAAAGATCATGAATTCAACTTCTGCCTTATCGTGCAGCCCTATCTCAAAATCATCAGTAAATAATAGAGGTGTCCTGATACAACTTTTGAACGTCCAATACAATACCGATATTGTTGCCTTCAGTATTGGCCAATACTGATATTGATCTGATATTGACAAGTTTTGCACTCAGCTGCAATGTCTTTTTTGGACTTCAATGAAAAATCTTGCCACACACATCACTTCTACTCCTCTTTACTTTGTTAGTACCTTAGTACACACTGTGATTACCTGGGCTCTGCACGCTGGATCTGGGTGCTGCTAGATAGTGGTGCTGGGGCGGAGTCTGGAGTGGACTGCTTGTTTAGGAGTGCTGATATCGGATATTTCAGATGCAGGCTGATATCATCTGATATTCACTTTTTTGCTGATATCGGACCGAAAGTCAACATCAATATTGGATCGGAACATCCCTAGTAAATAAGACCGTTAACAGTGCTACTGTTTTAACTTAATGGAAGGATTTTATTCCTCAAGAAGTAAAATGTGTCCACCTTTAAGTTAAAAACAGCTCTCACCTACTTTAATATGTACTCGGATTTCATTCGGTCAGTATATGCCAGCACTTTTACCCGGGATTTCCACCGCATCCGGAACAGCAGCGAAAATGGAAAGAAGTCGGTGGAAATTGACACATGAACTTGAATGGTTATGATACAGCCTTTTCGTAGCTGTTCAGGATGCGTTGGAAATGGGGGGTTATTCAACTGAAAGGCTGTTTGTGTTACATTTTAGAGATTTATGTTCATATAACTCATGGAGAAGAAAAGCCTGATCAATGTACAAAAGCCAGCTTAAATGATTAACACGGAGCTTTAAATGAGTAAACTGGGGATAAAACACCCACCTGCAGGGCTCTGTCACCTGGCTGTTTAAAACCTGTATGAGGTGAATACAAGTCTGTGGATCTGGTGAAATCTTCAGCTCCTAAGAATCTTCAGTTTATGGTTATTAGGAACCAGACTGTGTCTGTTGAGTAGTTTGGCTTACCGAGACATTTTTAATACTCAGTTCTTGCTTTCTAGCAGTGTATTTCTGTTATAATCAGTCTTCAGATGCATGTTGACACACAGTGGGCGTGAGCACTACCAACTGTAATCCCATGGTGAAGTTATCAGTTTGAGGAGATACTTAGAAAAGCTTCAACAACTTCATTCAGTGTAAATTTGCTTTTACTCAAGTGGTTTTATTTTGCTGACCATGCTGTCAACAACCCAAAAAGACACTCTCTTAATAACCTTCTCAGCACAATGAAGACAAACTGTTCTCCCCTCCCTTTTGGTATGAAATTCACTTCAGCCTTTCTTCTTGAAATAACTTGCTCTCCTCACAGACAGGATCTGGTTTTAGTACAAAAAGGTTCAGGGAAAGGTTCAGGGCTTTGTTGCAAACATCCTACCTGCAGGTCTTTGGTGTTGCCTTGAACAAAGCAATGCCTGCTGTATTCCTTTTAGGCCCTTCTTGTTTGTTAATAATGATTTTATGAGTTTGAGAAGATTGTGAATTAACTTTGAGTTGAGCAGAAGCGAATTGACTTCTTCCTGGACAAATGGATGTTTCCCTAAAAGTGCGGCTACATAGTTTATTTTTATTCTGGCTCTTAAAAAGAAAAGTAAGTTTACTCCTGCTTTCATTTTACCTTTAGTGAGTGACTGAGGATATAGAGTATATATGTATAAAAATGTTAAGCGCTTAATTCACCACCGCAGCAAGATCAACAAAAACGCTGGTTTGCTCTCTGATTTATGAAGTTCGGTGACGTATCCCGTTTTCCCACTATAGTGATGGATGTCTGTGAGCATGTGAACAACTATATTAAAGTCCACACCCCATCAGCTCCTACAAATAGTAACAAATGGATGCAGGGATGCTTCATGTGTTTTCTGTGTATCATTAAACATTTCCATTCAGCTCCTTCAAACATGAACATCAGAAACAAATTACGCATGTTTGACTAAAGGCTTGATGATTGAAGATCAGATCAATGTGGAAAGACTGCATGCATGCATTTATATGAGGCTTTAAGTGCTTTAAACGTATAGATTAAAAAGCACTTTAACTTTTAAAAGCAGAAAATGGGCAAAGTTTGACTTTGGGCTCCAGCCAAAGCAAACGGTGTTAAAATTAGATGCTATTAAATTTAATGAAACTTTCTTAATTTTGTTCAAGGTTTTAATGTTCACAGTTTTAAAGCTTTTCCAGCAATAATTGCTTAACCCCGCAAACAAAAAAGACTGAATTTAGAGGATTATGTAAAGAAAACTCTTCGTAGGTGGGTGTTCGGATGAGCCGTGAGGAGAGTCTGCTGAGGGTGAGCGGATGAGCATCAAACAGCAGATGCCAGACTGGCTATCAGTTTAAATATAATTACACAGCACTCTCATCCGTGCATATAACCATTCCCTCTCTGCTCATTTATCACTGAACAGAAATAGCAAGAAAAAAGTTTAATGGAACACTTACTTGTGGATCAATTTCTATCGAGGGAAGGGATTTCAAAGAAGAGGAAATGGAATTTATGTTCTAAAGGCCCATTAATAATAATAATAGCCTGGAATATCTACAGATTCCCTGTGACACATTCATTAATATCCTCAGTGCTTTTCAGTGATTTATTGAACTGCAATACATCACACTGTGGTCTGCATGTCGTTTTAGAATTTTCCTTTTTCTTAAGGGATTTATTTCATGTTTCCTTTTCTTTATGTAATCCCCTTTTTATTCCATTTGTCGCTTCAAGTGTTTATACTGTAAACCAAACATAAATCACTGGTGTTTACTGTAAAATGGGATCTGTGAAGAGAGCAGTTTTATTTTAGCCAGCAGCTTCTAATCAGGGGAAACAAACAGCAAACCAAAGCGGAGAAAAAGGGGAAACAAGGTGAGAAAAAAAACTGCAGACAGAGTCATTTCCAGATACTGCAAATGGGCAAAAAGAAGGCAAGAATAGGGAATTGAGTGTGCCTTATAAATTCACCACACAAACCCTGTAGACCGCAGCAAGAAACAGACCCAGACTGCAACGGTAGACATAAGAAGATATAGATTTTAATATCTTTATAAACATTTTTGTACTGTTGTTTTTCTGATGATAACTTACCGATCGATCAATGGAATAATGGCAACTCAAGAAGATGAATCGGCATACAGTTCGACAAGTAATATGGAGGTGAATAATTGTGCATTAACAAATAAAAATGCTTCCAAAAATATAACATGAAAAATACGTAAAATAAACAAATCACCAGAAAATCAAAAAGTCAAAAGACTCCTCCTGACAGGAGGAGCAGATAACCCTGTTATCATCATCAATGTCACTGATATTGTTTTTCAGATAGTTATACAGGAAATGATTAATATCAGCACTGCAAGAAGTCCTTGTATCTCTATGATACTGGTACAGTTCACATCATTGATACAAACACCGTCTTACTGGTAGGTTTAAGGGAGGCACAAAAGCTCCTGAAGTAGGATGTCCTGTTTTTGTTCGTCTCTTTGTTTACATTGCTCTGCATCTCCTTGTTACTTCAACAGCGATTGTCTCGGTCTGGGATCCTCTCTTCCACCGACAATCGAATCAGTTAACAGAGAGGCGCAATTCTCTCATTATGATTCCTGTTTCTCCAAATTTCATCACATGTATTTTTTCTTGTTCTTTTCTCGATCACATGAGTCTTCTACGGTTCCCACACACATTTTTTTTTTCTCCGGTCCTGTCCTCGTCTTCCTTTTGAAACTTACCGATCAAGAAAAAAAAATGTGTTCCTCACGTTCTCAATGAAGAAGGTAGGAAACAGTTCAGCACAACCTCACTGAGAAACTGAGAAAGCCCCCCCCGTTTGACCCTCGACCTCTGGGGCTCCTGTTAGCCCTGCATCAGGGGATCTGTCTCTAGGTCCATTTTGTGTCTTACAAAAATCATATGAACAACATCTGACACAAGATATAGACTGACTCTTCAATATTCACAGCTTGATCTCCCAGAGACACACATTGTTTACCAAGCAAATGAAATTAGGGCATGGCAGTTCTCCATATCTCGAAACAATTAGCAGCTTAGTATTTAGTTGCACAGAAAGAGAGAAGTCATGTAAATGAAGATGGACGCAGATCTCTGGGTAGCAATGGAATACCGATGAGCGATAGCTAAATGGGCGGGAGGGTTGGTACGATGCCATAAAAAAGCGGAGAGGAGTTGTTTCTGGCTGACTTGATGCTCTGCCGATAGCAGTAAAACACCAGAGGCTATAGATCTGTATTTGTTGTGAAAATGGCACATAACCTACATCTGAAAAGACTGAAGTTTTATTGCCATGCCAACACCTCGCCTCTTAGCTTATGAGGAACATTCTCGATCCCATTTGTTTAGCAAGAGATGCAACACAAGCATACATCAGGCAGGAATGGTGAAATAATGCCACCGACTGTCTATTTTCTCACTTTCTTGAACTTTACAAGCTGAACTGAGGATTACAGCTGAACAAAGCGCATAGCTTATCATTCTCAGAGCTTACTAGATAGCATGTTTGTCTTAGTTTGCTCTGTCAACTCTTCCGTAATTTGAGATTTTAGAAAATTTTGGTCATGGGAACTCTGGGGGGGGAAATGACAAAATGAAATCATACTGGCGTAAGTGGCAGTGCAAGCTTGGTCGCTGGCTGGCAGTCCTGTCAGTTTTTGTGCTGTGAGTCTTTCTGTCGTAGATGTTTGATGCCTGCTCGGGTCTGAACGGTAAAGCTCCCTACACAACATTTACACAGATAATCACACTCACACACACATACATAAATGACACACAGGCCTTGTAGTGCAGGAGCAAGAGAGGGTCTGAGGGCTGTGTCTTTTGTGATAATGACCAAATCCTCTGAAGGTCAGCGGAGAATGTTGTCAATGTTGGTTGTTAACAAGGCCACAAAGAGGGCGAGGATGGGTAGTAAGGACCGGGATAAGGTTGCCCTGTTGTTGGCTTGCTGTACCCCACTTGGGGGGCGGACAGTGGTCCGGGGGTTACACTTGTGCTTCCTCCGTGTGACGGTGCCATCTGGGGATGTGTGGTCATGCTTGCCCCCCTCTGTGAAATCTGGGGAGGAATCCTCCTTGTCTGCCATGACCTCCTTTGAGTGGTGAACCTCATTGTCACCCTTCCCTTTGCTCCCCCTGGTGCGAGGCTTTGTGCAGTTCCGAGAACGGCCAGGCCTTGAGGGCTGGACTAGGTGGGTCTGCCCTCCAGAGCCCACAACAACACCCCGGTTCATGGACGGATTCACTGTGCCAGATAAATTGTTAGTCTGGGCTCTGGACTCAGAGTTTGGTACAGTTGGCGAACAGTTGGGGAAGTCCTCCTTGCGCAGCTCCTTGAGATCTTTTCCGTACATATTAATCGGTGCCTGGCAGCCCACTGAAGACGTAGAGCCTCGAAAACGTTTCAACCACTCCCACAGCGAAAGAGCCTTGCAGTCGCATGCCCAGGGGTTGTCGTTCAGGCGCAGGTACTCCAGAGCGGGAAGGGTGTCCAAACACTGACCGGACAGCTGGATCAGGGAGTTGTTGAACAAGTAGAGGGTGGTGAGACGTTTCAGGTCATGGAAAGCCAGGCGGTCAACCCACTCAATCTGGTTCTGATGCAAAAGCAGTCGATCTAGAGCTCGAAGCCCTCTGAAGGTGTTCTGGTTGACGCTCCACAGACGGTTCCCATGCAGGAACAGATGACTCAGGTTGTGGAGGTCCATAAATGTGTCATCCTGCAGGAACTTCAGATGATTATCCTAGGGTTAGGACACAAAGGGCACACAATCACAAAATTATAGGCAACTTGTTCCTGCAATTTCATTAATTAGAGGTTTTTTGACTTTGTGATCATATCTGCAATTGAAAATTCTGAGTGAATGGAGGAACAGGCTGTGCAGTGCACTCCGGAGAGAGGCTTTCCTAAGACACACTGTCCATCAGAGTTACTGCATGCCCTACTACCTCCTGAAAACCGGCAAGCAGTACTGAATGAATAATCATGGTCCTGTATCATTTGAGCAGTGATGTGGAGAACAATTTTGGCTCGTACGGTAAAAAATATTCCAAATAAAGGTAAGGCTGTTTGCTGATGTGCAACAAAACTGCCAACTTGTCATTCAAGGTAGTGAGGCAGCAAAGACATTAACAGAAGGTAATTCTGTAATTTAGCTTCGGATAAGGCTATGTGGTTTGTTTTGGAATACATTTGCATAAATCATGTCTTAGTTTAAATCTTGTTCCTTTGCAAAAACAGAGAAACTTTTTCTACTGCTCTAGTTTACCTGTAGGTAGAGATACTGCAGGTTTCTGAGGCCTTTGAAGATATTATTAGGGAGTGAGCTGAGCCCACAACGGTACAGGTGCAGCGCATTAAGCCGGCTCAGCCCGTGAAAGGTGTCCTCAGCCAGGGAGCGCAGGTGGCGGTTGTCTCCCAGGTCCAGCTCCTCGAGCAGCGTGAAGCCGTGGAAGGTAGAGGGCTCGATGTACGTGATGTTGTTGGAGTAGATCCAGAGAGTGACAGTGTTGGAGCTGAAGTGACCCCGAAGTAAGCGATGGATTTTATTGTTCTGCAGGAAGATGCGCTCGCTGTCAGGAGGAATGCCTTCAGGGACGGACAGGAAGTTGTGGGCTTGGCAGGAGACTGTGCTGGGTGCAGTGTAGCAGATACAGTGACGGGGGCAAGACCAGGAAAACTCAAGTCCACAGAGAACCAGCAGGAACTCCAGCCCGCAGCCTGCAGCACACACATACACACATACACACATCATACAGATTGAGGACGAGAGAGGGGAGGGTCGAGAGGGAGATTACAGACATAAATCAACACACACACACACACACAGGGAGAGAAAGGAGGAGAATGGATTGAGTACAGAGTCCATGTCAACAGCATTGATTTTGTGTTTTCTTCTTAAACACTGAGAGAAAGGAAACGATTTAGACCGCTGCAGTGTCAGCGTGATAACATGCCTACATTATGCGAACAAGCTGGTGTTTAGCAGCAATAATGTTTGCAATATCCAGCACCTGAGCTTGGCATTTTAACACGCAACACCTGCTTAGCCGCACAAAGACCTTTAAAAAAAATTCATGGTTGATGGCAATGAGATGTGCAGGTGCTTAAAATGTCAAACTGGCACATAGTTTTTACAGAAAAGTCACTAAAATTTCCCAAATCAATTTGATAGTTCTTTGGTTGACTCTCTGCACCGAAAATACCAACAATTAAGGTCTTAAAGTTCAGATGAGGAACTTCTGGTTCGTTGTGAGTCAAATGGGGCTTGCAGGAGTCCTCACAGATTACCAGATTACCCTTACCAAAGTTGGTAAAACTAGAGGAGCAAGCAGTCGGCACCAGTCATCTCTCGATGGGGTGTCTAACTCGGTGTTATGGTGTGTTTGACTCTAACTTAATTTTACACCAGAATATCCCTTTAACCAACAGCAGCATAAGGCTGAGCTCAACAAATGTGGCTGCAGCAGGATGGCAAAAACAAGTAACCCTAGAAAAACCGACACGTTTGCAAACAAAATGCACATTATTGAACAAAGTGGAAATCTCAGAACCGGAAGCCAAACGAGTCCATTATCCCCCGACCAAGTTTCATATGAGCTGAACGATATTTTGGTGACATTATGACAGTATGTGGTATGTGCTTGGTATGTTGCCATGTTCCTCCCATGTTGCATCAGTGGGCTCCACAGTCTGACCTTCTCTGACAGATTTACTGCCCGAATCCACAGAGTGTATTTAGACCCACCATAAAGGGTAAATTGTAGAGAGCTAACAATAACACCTGCTCCAGTGAGTCACAGGACTTCTCTTTGAGGCTGATTGGATCCCTGGTGGTACTTGGCAGATTCGACACGTGCAGCTATTTCAGCTATTTTACCGATTCCGATATTTATCCACCTTCGGGACATGTGCCATTAAGAACTCTATCCCTTCCCAGAGTCCTCTAGCATTACTTTGCAGAGCACAGCAGAGACTGTGATCAGTCCTTTTGTGTTGTTAAATGGGCCGTGGAACGCTTATTTAAAGTTGTAGTAAGCTGCTCTGAGGCGCCTTCTGATCAGTGACATGATTCCCCAGATCCTGTAGACGGGAAATGTGACTTATCCACAGTCTTATCTGAAACAAGCACATCTCACAGCCCATCATGTATGCTTCATCTGACAAACCCCTGCCTGTCTCTGCTCAATTTAGTATTCATAGCATGGCAAAGGCCTGATTCACTGCCTCCAATCGATACGCCTCTGTTGCCTTTTAACTTGCCCCGTAATCCTAGGTCCTTTATGCTGGAAATTCAGGAGCTGCAAAACTACTCTCCACCAAGAGACAAGCGTATTTATCTAATATATTTTCTTGCCAACTGTGGCTAAGCTGTGACATTCCGCGTCTGACTCCACTGACCTTTTGCAGTAATTCTCTGCATCTAGCTGCAGAGCCAGAGCATGGCGTTGTGTGTGTCACCTGAACAGGAGTAGGCTCTCTCGGGCACGGATCTAATCCTATTTGTTAAGCCCTGCCATTGGGCAACAATGAAGGCGCATGCATCCTCCCAATTCAGAAATGTGCCCAATAAATGAGGTTATTCTTCACGGCTGAACACTGTCAAAAGGCTCACTGTGAGAGAGTATTCATGTGTGCTAGTATGCAAGTAAATATGTTGTGCAGGAGACCATGTCATGTCATTGTAACACAATAACAGGAACTGGCCTTACATAGACTTGTCTTTTGTAATGATGTGACCTGCATCAGTACATGGACCCTTGTGTTATTTGCAGTTTCTACATTTTTCACATTGATGAGCCCAAAAGAGAAGTAGCTGTTTTTATCTCAGTAGTTTTCTCAGCGTTTCTACGAGGATGTCAAGTACTGCACCCGGTGTCAAGTAAATAGGTAACGATGTTTTTCATTTCTCCTCTGAAAGATTCCCTTTATTCATCAGACAAATAAGCAGACATACGAAGTTCATTTCCAGCAGCTGTTTGAGGTACTTAAAATGCCACTTTATAGTCATTTGGTTTGAATGGTTTGCTCTTTTCGGATTCAGATGATTACAAAAAATCCAACGCTGTAGAAATCATCCGGGTCCCCATCACAGGGCTGTCCCGGCTTTTGTATTATGTCACTGACCCATTTTTCTGCCGCATAGGTAAACAAAGTTGCCTCTGTGACACCACCTAGCATTAGCCACATAACATACAGATGAGTGCGTCATGGTCAAATGTCTCATTGGCAGTTGAGTAGATGGGTGCATTTGTTATTTGTTGTGTTGGTCAGACTGGAAGAGGACTTTTTAAAATCGATGTGAAAATGTCAGTCTGATTGAAACTACACAAATTAAAAACTTGTAAAGATTGCAGCTGGGGATCGATAATCAATTCTAGAGGTGCACCGATCCATTTTTTTCCAATCCAATCTGATACCGATACCTGGGCTGAGCGTATCGACCAATATCCAATAGCGATCCAATACTACTGTTGAATGAGTGAACTCTATAGCTTGCCCTGTGAGTGAAGGCATCAGGCTTGACATAACAAATTGCACATTAGCACACAGCGAAAAGAAGTAAGACTTCAATGTATTAAAAGACTGGATCGGAACGCTGGATTGGCATCATTCATCAGATATCCGATCCAGTTAATTTGTCAACATCGAAGCCAATATCCGATCCAAATATCGGATCAGACTCAAACTGGTGTTTTAGGCATGCTGCACAACTTGCACACTAGGCTTTAAAGTTGAATGGCATCCATGCATTGGAATAACCCAGTACTAAGGAGCTGAAATGGGGCATGTCGCCACCTACCATAGGGTTACTTGACTTAACTGTGTATGTAAACGCAGAACTTGTGAGTCAGCACGCGAATGCTCTGCCAGTGGTGCTGCACAAAAGCAAAGAAACTTTAACTTACAAGTTCTTCCATCACTATGCAAACTATCAGCTGTAAACCAAATTACATAGCCGCTGTATCACTGCATCTTTAACTACCAGAGCGGTGAGCCAATAAGCAGTTTGTTCTGGTTTCTCGGTTGATTTAGTTCTTATTACAAACCAACTATTCCAACCAACCATTCCCAATAAGACCCCCCCCTCCCTACTGCAATCTCAGCTTGTTTTGTTCTGCATCAGAGTACAATTGCTTTGTTGACACGTCCAAACAAACAAGGCTAAGGAGGAAAATAGCCCGTGTCTACAACAGCGTCTCCAAACGATATAGGTGTAAAAGCCCCCCTGAGGTATTAAATGTTAGTTTAAATTTTTATCAGCCGAGTCACCCTCAAAGAAAAAGCAGCTTTATTTAAAAAAACACAAAAAACATGACAAAAAATCCTCACTTTTGCTCTTGTATTATTTAGAAAATAAATGGTAACAATCACAAGCCCTAGCAGGAGCTCATCCATGAGGTTCCATTATTCTGTTATTATTCATAAAACTGATCCTCCGCTCACTCCAGTGATTATATTTTTCCAGGCCTTAAAATATTTCCATTAAAGCTTCACTTCATGCATGTCAACAGAATTACAGTAGCAGATTTCTAACAGGAAAATGATCCGAGCAGGGCGAGAGATAGACAGTGATAAGTGTGATACACAGGCAGAGCGGGGGAATGAGAACGTAGATGCTGCCGAGATAGTGAGACAATTTGAATCAGTGATCTGCTAATCACGTTGGACACATAAGGATGCGCCTGCTCTCCTCTCATTCTCCTCAGCTTGTCAGGACAAAGTAATAGATTCTTTACCCTGCTTGATCCGCTCTTACAAAATGGCTGTTGCCAAACTTGCAGAGGAAACAAGAAAGACAAAAAAACATGGCAGATACCTGGAGTAATATCTTCCTTTCCTTCCCACATGCGAACAAAATCTTTTAACTCCATCCCCGATGAGGCTTTAGATGATGTGAATTTATGATGTGAGCACTCTTTAGATGCTCAAAGTAGCTCGTGCACTCTCTTCCGCATGCAGATAGAGTGACGGGGGAGAAGCGGATACCGCTTGCCTTGTTTTCAACCACGCTGAGGGCATGTGTGCACTCTTTTGAAGCTGGCAGAACACGCACTTCCACTGGAGACTATAACACCTGCTACCTCACTGATCTCAGCACCCGGTGGGTTCACATCTCCAAACACTACTTAGAGTACAGGTGTTGATGTAGAAGTACATGTGTATTAACACAACGCTGTGTCCCAGAAATACTCCGCCAGGTTTAAATCACTCATGAATATTCAAACCCTCTGCAAACTCATAAAGGCGTCTGTTTTCAAGTAATAACGCTTAAATTAGATTTGGAATTGAATAGGATGGATCATGTCGGTTTGACAAGCATAAAAGGCTGAATGAGTCTTGTTTACAGAGCTTTGAAAAGGGCGACTTGTTTCCAACACGTAGGAAAAAAAACAAGTATTGTGTGGAGCTGCTGTCCCTACATGAAAAAAGTAAGAAATTAATGTGTCATAACTGAATTGTGCGCTCACACAATAAGCCATTCAGCTCAAATTGTATTATATAAATAGCTTTGGACACAAAGGAGCATATACATGCCAACAGTGCCTATTGGAATTTGGCAGAATAAAGGCGAAGCTCTGAAAGGGAGATAATGTGTTTTTGGAAAGGAAGCAGAGCAGCTATTTTTGAGCTGTGTATTAACTCTCTCTTTAAAAAGTCTTTCACCTCCAAGTCCCTCCCCGCGCAGCTCCCCGTCACCCCAATCTTCCTCCCCGCTGATTAGCGAAGACAGATGCTATTGATAGCCGAAGAATCACGTTTGACCCGCTGAACCCATCATCAGCAAGTTCCTTTTTTTCTTTGTGGGCGTAGAAACGGAAATAGATAAATAAATGGAGAAAACACAATGGCTGGGGTCCCTTGACAGGCTGCTGAGTGACTGTGTAGAATATCAGTGAAGCATAGTTCACACCAGATTTGCCCTCATGAATAACACATCCCTGCTAATAGGAGGGAAATGGTTCATCTGTAGAGCTGCGTGACTCTGCCCATCATTAGACTGGACAAACTCAATTTCCTGTCTT